GCCTGGTTCTCGCACGGTTTGAGGTACACTTACAGGGCCACCTGAGAGGTTTGTTAGCCTGGTTCTCGCACGGTTTGAGGTACACTTACAGGGCCACCTGAGAGGTTTGTTAGCCTGGTTCTCGCACGGTTTGAGGTGCACTCACAGGGTCACCTGAGAGGTTTGTTAGCCTGGTTCTCGCACGGTTTGAGATGCACTCACAGGGCCACCTGGGAGAGCTGCTCCTTGGTGAGGTTGAGTGGATGGTTGAAGGCCGTGATGCCCAGCTTGCTTGGGTCCTCGCCTTTGGGCAAATTAGCACGCAGAATGCCGTTGTTCATCACGTTAATGAAAGCTCCGATGCTGTGCCAGCCCTTATTGTTGAACCAGATCTGGATAATTCGGCATAAGGAGAATCGTTAAATTTAACAGGGAATGACAGTTTGGTCCTGGACAGGAATATTGTCAGTGCGAACTATAAGAAACACCACTAGGTGCACAAAAGAGTTTTTTGACATAAACTGTAAGAAATTAAGTTTCTGTCTTCGTAGATTATTATATTCGGGGAAAAAAGGAGGTACAGATGATTTTAATTCCTTGATCAGGTCATTTACATTGCATTTACGTTACATTCAGTACATCTTTCAAACCAAGGGTCTATTCATCTGTTTCATCTGTCCATTCATTCATCCATCCATCCATCAATCCATCTGTCTAATTTCTGTTGTCCAGTGCAGGGTGACATGGATCTGGAGCCAATCCCATAAGCTACAGGCACAAGGCAGGGAATAACCCAGGATGGGGCGCCAACCCCTCACAGGGCACACTCACAGCTACAGGCACAAGGCAGGGAATAACCCAGGATGGGGCGCCAAACCCTCACAGGGCACGCTCACAGTTACAGACACAAGGCAGGGAATCACCCAGGATGGGGTGCCAAACCCTCACAGGGCACACTCACAGTTACAGACACAAGGCAGGGAATAACCCAGGATGGGGCACCAACCCCTCACAGGACACACTCACAGCTACAGACACAAGGCAGGGAATAACCCAGGATGGGGCACCAACCCATCACAGCAAAGCATTTCATTTGTTTATTTTCATATGTTTATCTTGCTTGTAGTACTTTAATGGGATATCCATTTTTGTTTGTTTGTGTTGTTTGTCTATCTAGCTAACAAACCACCAGGGATAGGAATCTAATTCCCAGGAGGTTTTGGGAAACAGACTGAATTACAGAAATCCCTACAGAGACAGTGATAAATCTTGATCATCTTACCTTGACATTATTTTTTGTATCCAGTCCCTCGATGAAGCTGGATAAGCTTCCGAGGAAGCGGTCGGTCGCCGTGCCCTGGGGGCGACAGACAGTGAAGCACAAGGCCGAACGAGGGGATGCAGGGATCTCACCCGGTCTTAGAGCAGACGTACCTGTTCCAGGCGAAGGCGGCTCCTGATCTTTGAGATAGCCTCGTTGACCTTATTGCCCGGAAGCCCATGGGAGCCTTTGGCACCCAAAGAAAAGCCGCCATATCTGAGTCAAAACATTATAACAAGAACTCAGAGGAACAGATATATCACTATAAAAACACCAAAGCCTTCAGGCACCATTGTCATATTTAACCTTAGAATGCAAAATGCCTTTTATTTTATGAAACAAATGCTCTTCAGCCATACCTGAATTCATTGACCCAGATCTTGTTTTTCAGGCTGGAAAAACATCAATAAACTTTGTAATTTCATAACTTCTCCAATATTATAAAATGCTATGAAAACAGGTGAATCAACACACCTTTTTGCAATGATTTGAGAATATGTTTTCACCAGGTAGTCTGAGATGTTTCTGCCTGTCAGATTCTGCAGGATGTCTGATGTGGTGAGTTTCATCTACACAAAGACACGAATTGCCAAAAAGAAGGTGATCCTGTTTGTAATGTGGAAATCTCCAGAATGGAATGTTTCATCATCACAGATTAAATCCTAGGTCAGGGTAAGCAATCTTATCCGCAGAGGGCCGGTGTAAATGCAGGTTTTTGGGATAACCTTTAGGTCAGCTGTTCAAACCCAGGTATAAGGACTCTTCAGTCAATCAGTCCTCTAATTAGTGATCTAATTAGAGCAAAAACCCACAAACACAGCGGCCCTTTCTGGATACAATTGGCCACCCCAGTCCTAGGCATTCAGCAGGCTTCACTTTGTAGCCTGCGACATACCTGGTCCTGGATATATCATTAGTAGCATATAGCTATTAGCACAGAATTATTGTTAAGTTGTGTGAAAATTGGTTCTGGGCCTTTAATTTTGTGCCTTGCCGTGACGTTACCACGACAATGCTAATTTTTACTAATCAATCTCCAGTAAAAAAAAAAAAGCATGACATGACTTTTGATTTTTACTAAAAAAAGCAATTTCGTGGTAAAACTGAAAACACAAACAACGTGCTGAAAGTTATATGACTGTTGACGAAAACATAGATTTACGTATTATTTAGGTATAACCCATTTACATTACATATAACGCTAATTGAATTTTAAAAGTTTGGATATATTTGGAACATCTTAACATCTGCGACCTGTCGGCACCCTCCTCCCCCCAAGGCAAAAAACTGGTAGTGGCAAGCTAAACTCATTTAATAAAACTGCAAAACATATTTAGCTGCATTTGTTTGCATTTGTTTCTGGTTAAAATAGTTCCCCATGCTAAATTATCATTAGAAACCCGCTGCATTTTGAAAGTAAAAAATGATTACCACATAGACCGGAGACGACATGGAATCGGTCACGGGAGCTCGACCAAGGAGCCGTGCGAGAGAGTTCTGCAGGGGGCCTCATACCTGGGGGGGCGGCAGGCCCCCAGCTCCGGCAGGACACTCCGGCAGCATTTTCTTACGTCCGCCGTAGCTGCACTCGCACGCGGGGGATGGGTTCTCCATGCTCCAGTTTCCCCTTAAGAAGAGGTCCAGAACACTGTCCGGCACACTGGGAATGAACCAGTCATCATCCACCGTCGGGCAGGGGGCATCTCTGTTAGAGACAAACACATGGCTCATAGTTGACCTCAGTTCACTGTTAGAAGATGCTTTAATACACAAACCTTGATCAGCCAACCCACAGGCTGTTCTTAAAACCACCTACGCTAATTTGGATCAACCAACCTAGATGCTGTTCCTAAAACCACATACATCAATCTGGATCAGCCAACCTAGAGGCTGTTCCTAAAACCACCTACACTAATTTGGATCAACCAACCTAGAGGCTGTTCTAACAACCACATACACTAATCTGGATCAGCCAACCTGCAGGCTGTTCCTAAAACCACATTCATGGATCAGCCCACAAGAATTTCTATTGAAAGCCACAGTGGTTGGGGAGGGTTACACTTACAGAACAGGGTTACCATCCATGCACCGCGTTCCAAAGCCAGGACGGTCAGTCAAGGCATCTAATAATTTCTGAGTTATGGCATCTTCAGGGGCATCATTGCTGCAAAAACAGTTGTAATTAATGTAGGAGCTAAGATATACATGCATGATTGATTCACATAGGTTTTAGCATCTGTTGTAACATACTAGTTCCTAAGTTGTTAAAAAATTGCTCTGGGCTTAACGTCCATTCATTCACGATAAGATTAATGAAGCTCTGCTCATACCTGATGAAGGTGAACTGCTCGTCATACATCCAGGGATGTAGAGCCAGGCTGGGATACTTTCCAAAAGGAGGAACGATGAGGCTGAAGATCAGGGCGATGCACACAAAAACTGCGGGCAGCACAATCTGCCAACGACAGGTTCAGGTTACATACAGATACCCACTGAACAGCCTTCGGAGGATAACTCAGAGGTCATGCAGTGTGTTTTAGGAGGATAACTCAGAGGTCATGCAGTGTGTTTTAGGAGGATAACTCAGTGGTCATGCAGTGTGTTTTAGGAGGATAACTCAGTGGTCATGCAGTGTGTTTTTGTTTCTCACCTGAGCGAAAAAACCTTTCCTGGAGCGGCAAGCGTATAGGAACCTTTTCCGCAGCAGGGCAACAAACTGTTGCTTCTTCAGACTCCAGCCCTTGACCTGGTATGACCCTTTGCCCTCTATTCCACTTAAACAGTCTGACTCTGGACAGAGAAAATGACTGAAATCACGGACATGGCTTTAGAAACTCCTGTTCCAAGGACTCACACAGAATGGGGATGGGACTCACCCCCCTTTGTCCTGCCGATGGGTGGCTACCTACTCAGCCACCCTGAAAAGTTTGCATATTTGAAATATTTCATACATAAATTTATGGCTGGGCGATTATTTGAATTTTAATTTCAATTGTGATTTTGGCTTCCAATGATTATCAAAACAAAATAATCACGAGAAAACAATTATTGTGCCTCATTTTGTTTTTCAGTGATGCTCTCGTTTTGTTATAATTACAGCATACCTCTTTCCACTTTTGTTTCACAATTGAATTATATTTAAAGTTCAAGGAAATCCACTGATGAAGAGACAAGTTTTTAAAAAAAAAGTTCAATAAATGCATGATATTTCCAGAGTCAATGAGATGTTTACTAAAATAATCATGATTATGATTTTTGCCATAATCGAGTAGCCCTACCTAAACTTCTGGAGAAACACTACTTTCAACAATACTTTGTCTGAAATCATTCAAGTGATGCTATATTAAACAGCGTTACCTGGGTATGTTTCAGACTCCTCACAATTGAAAGTGGTGTCGTTGGTGAACAGTCTGAGACAGCTTGGCCGATCTCCAAAAGCACGCCTCCTATGGGTCGGAATGGTGCCGTCTGTGCAAGTGCGGGCCCCAAATATCGCGTTCATTCAATGCATGAAAGAGCACAATACAGCCACAAGCCTGGGTTCTTCAATAAGTACTCAATTACTGTAGGCATCGAACCTGAAATCATCTCTGCGTCGGCTCCATTCTCCTTAGCAACCCTAAGAAAGATCTAAAGAGGAGACAGAATGGAGATATTAAGGGAATGGTTTACATGCCTGGTACACCAAAAACTATTATAATCGTTTGAACTGCTTACGGTCTAAAGTCTCTGATGACCGCGGGACACTGTCCGTATACCTCTTCTAGAGTGGTGTCGGAGATACCATAACTGGAGAATCCCAGGTCAGACATGCAGTTGTCGATCTCATGGAAGAGCTCCCCGAAAGAACCGTCCTTGGCTGACTTGTAGGGAAGCACATATGTGATCTCATGGGCTAGATCTTCTACCAAGCGTGCAGCAGGCACGTGCTTGAAGATCACATTAGAGATGAGCGATACATCTGATTGGACAGGACGAAAAAGGGACAAGACAAAAGGAAATGTCAGTCACATGCATTTTGATTAGGCGCATTTAAAAATCCCTGAATAAACATACATTTACTGCATACTTGAGCTGTGTAAATGTATTCTCACCAACTTACTAATGGTCGCAGATTCACACTTGTCGTCAATCCCAGCATCAGAGCACCTTCCCGTATCACTGTTCTCCTGGACCAGGAACATTCAGAATTCCCTTCATTTCACAAAGCTTATATAAAAAATATTAACACCCTCAAAAAATGCTATGACTGACAAATGTTCAATGTTAATAAGGAATACAGGTTAATCTTTTCTTCTTTCAATAACCAAGCCTAGGAAAGCCAAGAATAATCCCTGTCCAACCTCTCACACCTTTTTGATGTAGGAGACCGTGCCGTTGGAGCAGAAGCTGGTGGACAGATCCAGGTCCTTCTTGACTAGGGTCAGATAGTAACCTGTACCTAGATGAGTCTTCAGGTATAGAGAGGAGCCCACACAGCAGAGCTTCCCACAGGCGATGATTGCGATGCGGTCACCCAGGATGTCAGCTTCGTCCATATGGTGGGTAGAGAGGATGATAGTGCGGCCTAGTAGGATCATAACAAGGGTGCCATCTTAATTTTTATAGTCCTCTAGCCTTGTAATACAGACAACATGAACAAGCAATTTGGTTACCATGACGATATTTCAATAGGAGATCCCAAATGCCTCGACGGGCACAGGGATCCACACCGGCAGTCGGTTCGTCTAGGATGACGACTTTCGAACCTCCGACGAATGCTAAAGCCACTGACAACTTCCGCTGCATTCCACCTGCAAAAGGATAGAACAGCCACTCGATCTGCATCTGCAGTAGATGCTGAGATGTTCATCATCATTCTTCTCAACAAGCAGAAATAAGCATTTTACCAGACAACTGGCTGACTCTAGCCTTGCGTTTGTGTGGCAAACCAACGTTGGCGATAATCTGCTCAATCTCAGCCTTCACTTTGTCTTCAGAGAGACCTTTCAGACGGGCAAAAAACCAGATATGCTCCTCCACAGTAAGCCTGGACAAAATAAGAATCATTTACAGTCATAAATTACAGGGCAGATGCTGTGTGTCGTTTGTAAAGTTCACTTGCACTGAAGTTTACATGAATAACAATGGTGGCTATTTACATGCTGAAGAGGACATTGTGCTGTGGGCAGACTCCTAGGTTTTGTCGGATGGTGCTGAAATCTGAGCGGATGTCCTTGCCCATGATGTATGCGGTGCCAGATGTGGGGGGTATCAGCCCAGTCAGGATGGACCTGAACGCAGAAACACATCACGTCAGATCCTTCACGTCCTACATTTTTGCTTTATCCTACAGCCAATTTGGTTTTCAACACCTACATGGTTGTGGTCTTGCCTGCACCATTGTGGCCCAGAAAAGAGGTGATCTGACCCTCGTAGAAGCTTAATGTCAACCCATCCACGGCCACCTTGTTTCCATGGCGATACACCTTTACCAGGTTCTTGATGTAAACTCCCATTCCCAGGTGGGTTGGCTCTTCTTCCATGCATATAGCTAAGAGATAAAGATATTTTTTATTTCCCATATGCACTAGCACACCAACAATTACAGTTGACCCTCCTGCATATATTCCGGGGTCGGAATAAGAAATTAAATTGGAATTTTTTTGGAAATTTTGCGAAAGCCACACAGGACATATAAAGGTCATACAACACACAAATAGTTTAGTGACTCATAAATGCATAAAATGTATGTACAGTACTTGTTTGGAGGGAGGACACCAAGCGTGTTTACGGCAGCCTAACACGGGATGTCTCGCTCCTGCAGATCTTTGTATCCTGTGTTTTTCATATGTTTTCACTTCGCTTTTCTACCCACTCCAAGGGGACCAGAAATATTCACATTTTTTGTCCAGGTCGGGGGTGGCCTGCGCCCCGAACCCCCACCTTGCGAAAAGATCGACTATACAGGTACCCAGGACGCCAATAAAAATCACTGCACCTTCTGAATTCACTTTTTTATTCGGAGTCCATGTTTTCCCACTTTCCCCAAACCAGTAATTCATGGTGCAAGGAAAGTACCAGGGTCTTGGGATCCCATACTGGCCTGGGGGAGACATTCAGTGGGTCAATAACACGACGTGTCTCTGTTAGACGGCAACATTATCAGGCAGAAATACACCCCCTTCCTCATTACCTGGGAAAACTGCCTCAATGTACCAGGTCATCAGCCCATACAGGAAGGAGTCAAAGTACATAAGAATGATGGAGGTGATAAGGTTATAGCTGTCCTCCTCCAGGGGACTAGAGAGTAAGTTGCTCCACTGAACTCCCACTCCCTGCTCCTCGAAAAGAGCCAGATACTCACAGCCGAATCCAAAAGCAACTGGAGACAACAGACTCTGTGAACAGGTATAAGCACAGCATGCAATCTGCTTACTCTATGACAACGTAACTTAGCATGGTTATCATAGCGTCGACGTGTATAATGAAACCATAATGCTCATGCTTGGTTTAAGTAGTTATATACACACTTGTGCAAATTAACTGAAATAAGCTGCCACACTGACATGCATGCAGTGGCCTGGGACCTGCTCGTCTGCACAGCCAACAGGGCAGAGAGTACGCTGAATGGATGGAGAGAGGAGGCACTGTGCCCACAGACTGGCAGGCCTGCTCAGGTGGGGTTTGGGCTGAGTGGATGGAGAGAGGAGGCACTGTGCCCACAGACTGGCAGGCCTGCTCAGGTGGGGTTAGGGCTGAGTGGATGGAGAGAGGAGGCACTGTGCCCACAGACTGGCAGGCCTGCTCGGGTGGGGTTAGGGCTGAGTGGATGGAGAGAGGAGGCACTGTACCCACAGACTGGCAGACCTGCTCGGGTGGGGTTAGGGCTGGGTGTGTGACTGAGTGGATAGACAGAGGAGGCACTGTGCCCACAGACTGACAGGCCTGCTCAGGTGGGGTTAGGGCTGGGTGTGTGACTGAGTGGATGGACAGAGGAGGCACTGTGCCCACAGACTGGCAGGCCTGCTCAGGTGGGGTTAGGGCTGAGTGGAAAGACATAGGAGGCACTGTGCCCACAGACTGACAGGCCTGCTCAGGTGGGGTTAGGGCTGAGTGGATGGNCTGCTCAGGTGGGGTTAGGGCTGAGTGGATGGGCAGAGGAGGCACTGTGCCCACATACTGGCAGGCCTGCTCAGGTGGGGTTAGGGCTGAGTGGAAAGACATAGGAGGCACTGTGCCCACAGACTGGCAGGCCTGCTCGTGACTGTGGACATATGACTGTGCTTCAGCCATCCATGTTTGTTTCAGGTGAATGCTCTGAGGGTCAGGCACCTCCTCGTATTGTCATGGGGTTTCCTCCGGGTTCTCTGGTTCCCCCCCACAGTCCAAAAGCATGCTGAGATTAATTTCAGTTGCCAAATTCCCCATAGCTATGAATGGTGTGTGTGCCTTGCGATGGATTGGCGCCCCACCCTGGGTTATTCCCATACAATTTTCATCAATCCGCCAGATCCTAAATCCAGACCCAAAGAGATAAGTATGAATTAATGTGACTGTGATGTCTGTCTTACCTGTGGTCAGTTTGTCTGCTTATAGACGCGCCAACTGGCTTCAATGAATTTGCACAAGGTTGTATATATATTATCAGGGGTGTAGATTTGGAGTGTGTAGGACAGTGTGTATTTAGGGGGTGGGGCGTTTGGGGCTGATTTGGTCCCTACTAGTGTTGAAACCAAACCTACGCCTTGTAAATCATATTCGTCATTGTTTTCAGGCTTTACTTACAGCCAGGACTTTGCCACCAAAACCCACATAGTCCTGCCAAGCCACACAGAGCACATAGGGGAGGTAAAGGGTGAAGTAGATAATTCCTCCGCAGGCTGCTGCCAGGTTGGCCCGGGAAAAGATGGTGCTCAACAGGAAACACTGCATTATGGTTACCACGGCGAAAGAGCCGAGAAAAACCAGCAAGACCCCTGGATCACTGTAAGGCAGGAGGTTCCCCATCTGTGAAGACAATAATAGAGGAGTAGCCAAATGCTTCTTCACAAAAAGAGCAGGCAAATCAATCTAAAATACTACTCAGAAACGATCATCTTGTAATTATCGTCTGATGAATACACAATAATTTGCAGTAGATGGGTTGACTTTACCTTTAGGGCGAGAACCAAGATGGCGGCGCTGATTAGCAGAGGGATCAGACTGCTGATGAACCAGCTGACCCACAGGATGCCACTGTTCAGCCCCATTATCCTCATGGTCTCCTTCAGCCGAGCCTCCTTCTCGTACACCACGCCCTTGATGATGATGGCCACGGAATACATCCATGCCAGGGTCATGAAGAGGGGCATGCAGCGGCTCGTCACACGCAGGAAGCTGAAGGTCGGCGGAGAAACAAATATCGAATACGCTACCCAGACAAGCCAACAGTCTCATCTAGCCAACTAGTCTGTGCATTAAATTTCTGAGAACGTAGACAGTCACACAGGCTGGTCTGACATTAAATTACCAAAATCAGGGTCAAACTTGCTTATCTTGACCAAGTATACTCTCCAAATTAGGGATGCTAAGATTCACCGATTCACATCGGTTCACCGGCATAGAAGCTGACGATGTGACTCCCCCGATTAAAAAAGGGTGCACCAGATTAAATTTGTGATGCACTCGGGGTGCGCTGTTTCTAACACCTTTGTATCGGTAAAACTAATTTATTAAATCATAATTATTAGTAGCTTAGTAGTTTAAACTGAAACAGATGCAAATAAAGAAAAACAACTGCACTGCAGTGTAATTCCATAAGACAACAGTGAAGAAGACCAACCTAGTACCTGAACACTGTATTACCACTTACACATCATCGACGTAGCAGGGATAAGGCATCTGCTGGATGTATATGCCAACCCTCTCCTTAGTGCCGGTGACTGCTCGGATGATGCCCTGCTCAATGACATCCTGAAGGTAGGAGAAGCCACCCCAGATGTAGCGTAAGTCTTCAAAGGGGTCGGCCCTCGGACCGGGATCCCAGTAACTGCACGGAGAGAAAAGAAACATCAGCCACGCTCTGGAAGCCTCGAATGGCAAAGGCTCCAAGAACAGATCCGCATACCCGTCTTTGATCTTATTGGTCCGTTCAACATTGTCGATATCCATGCGAATCTTGTAATTCACATTGGGTGGGAGTTCGGAACTGTTGGATTCTATGTCCGGGAAGACGATTCCAGCCCAAAATTTCCTGTCATCCAGTAGCTGCATGGATTTGTTCACCAGGATCTCTTCATTATCCACTGGCTCCAGTTTATCTAAATTGACACACTTTTGGAGAAGGAATCATCAGTGAAGTGAGCCACCTGAAATGTCACCAACAACTGTTGAAAGTGAAAGTTCACATGTGGAACCTTAATGGTAAACTGTATTACAGCGGTTTCATTGTATAGCTGAGATTCAGTTACAAGGTTCAGATGCAGATTCTTTGGGGCTTCAAGCCAATATAATCTATCAAATAAATCCATCAAAGCACTAAGGTTATCTACAAGGCTACACTACCATCCACCAAAACCATGCTACAATTCCTGAATTACTCAAAATTAGAGTAATGAGGTTATTCTTTATATATAATTTGCTATACCACTCTTTGCATTAAAGATCGTTTAGTATTTTAATACTATCTTCATGTCTAGGTCATATCTAGACCACAACGAATTTGGGGACACAGGTGAAAAATGGTAAATGTGACGCACATCCATGAAGTGGGAGATGGTCTGCACAGCACGGTCAGTCTCATTAAAGACGTCTCTCCATGTAAACACTGTCCCCGCGGGCCGTGTGTCCTCAGAGAGCTTGGACAGGAAACTGGACACGTCCTTAGCCCTCCACTCTGTCCCAGTGAGCTGGGTGTTCAGGAAGTGGGCACTGGCATTGTTCTTCAGTAAAGTCTGCCAAACACAAGGGGGCAGTATAGTACAGTATCCATCACATATCATACACTAAGATTCTCCACATATTTTACAGTGGTACTTAATGATCATCATTAATCACTCCCAACCTAAATTCTATGGCAGACACATGACAATCAAATAGTTTCTAATGAATAATCAGGTTGCCGTTGGTGCACTTTTGGTATGAACGAGAAGTTAAAGTGAGATGGTGTCCTATGGTGTGTTTACCACAAGGTGGCAGTATCGTATTGTGTTACAATGCAAGATCGCAAACTATAAAGTGGAAATTTAATGACCTGCTAGGATTTTATGTAAATCACTGCAGATGCTCTACTGTCACTGGAAGAAACAACTGACAAACTCTGCTACTTTGTTTCTCATAATAAATTATACTTCATTATGTATTGAAACTGTGGACATCTCAAATCTAATTATACCAACACATATCTGAATCTGTCTCCATTTCTAACTTGCATCAACACTCGTTTACACACGGTAGTGTTCCTCTTCTGGGTTTTGCTCCGTGAAATGAATGAAATGTCACAGTTACCTAAACCTTCTGTCCACACAGGTTACCTTCACTGTTATTTACAGCCTAGTTATCTAGCATCACTTCCGATCCGGTGCAGTGGTGCAGTGGTTAGTGCTACTGCCTCACAGCAAGAAGGTCCTGAGTTTGGTCCCAGGTCCTTTCTGTGTGGAGTTTGCACACTCCCCTTATGTTCATGTGGGTTTCCACTGGGGGCTCTGGTTTCCTCCCACAGTCCAAAAAGCATGCAGGGCAGGTTGATGTGTGCGTGTGTGTCATGCAGTGCGTTGGCGACTGCCCAGGGTTGGTTCCTGCCCAGGGTTGGTTCCTGCCTGTGCCCATTGTTTCTGGGATAGACTCTGGTTCCCCAGCTGGGATTAAGTAGGGATGGACTGACAAAAGTGACTGTCAAGGGACTCTTTCTGGGTACGTATCTGTTTAGTCACTTGTAGAGCAGAGGCAGTATACCCACCCGGACTAAATCCATCTCCTCACTGTTCTCCATGAAGTTCCAGATCTTGGGCCTCAGCTCCTCCCAAACACCACCCAAATCCCGCAGGACACCAAGCTCTTGGAATGTCTTGTTCACCTAGCAGAGCAAGAGGGGTGGCATCTTACTTAACTGTTCTGGGGTTTTATTCCTTTACTTTCTTCCACGATCATCCCCCCCCCCCTCCCCCCCAAACACTGAATTTCCTAGAAATGCTTCCACAGTGCAAGCCAGGTCGAGACACCCCATGCTAGGCAAAGTACTTTGCATTACTCATTTGGGCGGCGTCTCGCTTTTGTATAATCATTCACTTCTGTACATTACCAAAAGTCAACAAATAGGTTAGGGCGGCCATGTTTTGATGGGCAAAAAAAGAGGACACTGGGTGCAGGATACAAAGAGGGGCATGAAAGCAATGCAAATATACACAGTGAAAGTATTCTGACTGTAGAAAGCAAATGTCAACATGACATAAAGTGAAATCCTGGATATTTCAGGCATTTTTAGGTCTCAAAAAAGAGGACAAGTCTGGGAAATACAGGACGGTTGGTCACACTAAAACAGATACATCAGTCATATTTATTATGAGCCTTCAAAAAAAAATGCAGAGAAGCACAGAAGGACTTCAAGACCACAGGACGTAAGACAGCATTTCGGAGGCTCCGCCCACGAGCCGTCACTCACCTCCTTAATGATCCTCTGTGTGGCGGCTGTGTCCGGAGTGTAGAGCACCTTCCCCACCAGCAGGGGCTTCAGTGCCCTCCAGATCATGCGTGACATGGGGCTGGACTCCAGGTTCATCATCAGCTTGTTGCAGAAGGGGCCTGGGGAGATGAGTGGGGGCAAAAATTGACCAACGGCCGCAATGATCCAGCCTTCCTTCCCAGGAGTACTCACTGCATAATGAGCTATTAGACCTTGTGCCATAATAGCCCTCATCTGAGAAAGGTGGAACATGCTCAGATCTGAGATGTCAGCAGAACATCTCAAGTCCTCTTTCCCACCAACGGTTGAAGCATAGGGCTCTAATTTTTCCCTGCTGACTTTACAACTCAATCTGACGTAAAAAAAACAATTCAGTTACGTGTCCTGTTAAGGCTCTGATTTACTTATAGACTGAAACCTTTTACTAGGCATGCAGAGATGGATGGATGTTTAATTTAGAAGATGGGCAATAAAATACTTAACTGTGGACATGTATTTCCATCCATTAACAATTATCCAGTACATTTTCAATACAATAAAAATCATGTAGTTACAAATAATTTTAGCTGTGAATTATCTGTTTTCAAACCTGCCTGTAATCAGCCCACAGATGTGATTTATTTGTAATTAATACCTTTTCAGCAGATGTTTCTCAGTCGCAACACAGAAAAAATGCACATTGATTTTGGTGACTTACTGGAGGAGTTATCGTAGACGAACACCGGCTCGTTCTCACTGCTGTTCTGGCTGCCAAAAAGCGCCTTATAGTTGTGGTCTTCGTACCAGTTGAGGGACTTGATTTTGAGGCCGCCGCCCTCGGGGTGCCCACAGACGATGCGGGAGACGGCCTGGTACACGAGCATGGGGGAGCCGCTGGCGTTGTGCATCAGGTACAGGACCTCGTGGCGCAGGTCGTGCCAGCTCCGCATGCCGGCGAGCTAAGGGCGGGGGTCGGCGTGTGGGGAGGGGTTCAGGGGCACAGGTGATAGCTGTTAATAGAGGTTCTTGGTAGGTTTATTCACACTGGATCAGCTAAACGGCGCTAAATGCTTCACAACTGGTACAGGGGGTCTAGGAAAGTCTTTTGGCATGTTTTTTAATCTTTGAAACGGCATTAAAAAGCCATCGATTAAACCCTCAAAAGGCTTATTCTAATCTGTCTGCTACACTTTTAATATTTGATCTTGCGACACACACACATAGCTGAGATGCTTAAATAATTTGTTCGAAACCATTTGCCTTGGCCAGCTGTAAGATTAATTAGCTTGAACGCCTTTTCCCGCACACATAGCTTTGTTCGGGGCGATTATCGTCCAGCACAGGAGACAGACACGGTTTCCCATACCAGTGGGGGACATGATCCTTTCAGGGCTTTCAGACAGCGTTAAGTCATTTTGCATACAGTGGTTGTTGGCTGTAAGGGGAGTGGGCACATTTGATGCAGTATTGTTTCATTTCAATAGCCATGTAAGTCCTGAAACCATGGTAACTAAATATTTTACTGTAATCCCACATTCTGTACGTTTCTAACCTTTGTCCTACTGTTCTTTATTAAAACTACAGTATAATATCCAGTAATAGGGGACCAAAGTGATGAGTGCTGAATATTTAGCAGTCCAGAAACGATTAAGGCTGAGAAATTTGTCTGATAATTACAACCCCTCCTGCGGCACAATGAGAATTAAAAAAGAAAAATTAAAGACAGAAAGCACATTCAGAAGCACTGCATATTGGTGGCCAGATTCTAGTTTACCCCCCCCCCTGCGACGTTTGGCTAGCAAAGACCAAAACCTGGCACAAACAGAGGCACCAAACACAGGCCAGGAACACAAATTTTAAGAAGCAAAGTCACCGCCAGTCCATTAAAGACAAAACGGAAACTAAAATGCAGCTCATGTACAGCGAAAGGCTTCCCAGAATCACTCACCGAGGAATCCAAACTCAAAGCCCTCTCTCTTGGGTTTTACCCAGTGGAACGCTGGGAAAACATGTCTCTTTTCACTCAAAGTTCAATTTTCATAGGTAGGATGACTAACGCCATTTCAGGGTAGTCTTTTTCGGTCCTTATCCAGCCACATCAGCGGTAATATGCTGCCAACCTTGGCTGATGTTGCAGAAATAACACAGTTGAGCAGGATAGGAAGATCTTCTCTGAGACACTTCCAGTGATGCTCCACATACTACAGACCAATGGCTCATTTATCTATACATCTGATCACCTTCAGAGTGAGTGGCCCCAGGACAAAGGCAGGATTGCCCACATTAAAGGCTGAGCCATCCAAGCAAGATGCAGTACTCTGTGGTGCCACTAAAGCAGTGCTTCCCCAGCCCAGTCCTCGGGGACACACATGGCCCACGTTTTTGCTCCCTCTGAGGTCCATGCCAGTTTTTGCTCCTTCCCAGCGGACTGGGTTTGCTCAACCCTACATTACTGGTGAGTCGTCAAATTCCATTGTGCTACTTGTACTGTTATGCCATACAAAGGGTGTCTATCTATACCAAGAATGCAAAGAACATATCTGTGTCCTTGGAAAGAGCGTTTTTGCTAACTTGCCTCCAAAGCACAAACTTGGGACACGATGAATTCATGGGATTGATCTCATTGGTGAGGATACAACCGATGCATCCTTAATAATTGGATCGGGGGGAACGGCACCTGGGGAATTTTCCACTAGTACTGCTGTTCTTGAGTATTGGAACAATAGAAGATGATGTCAAACGGGTACAAGAAAACAGAAGTATGGTCAGATACACATATTGACAAACATCCATAGACCCTTATCCTCACCCAAAGAATAATACAGTTTACTGGCTTTATAACGCTCTAGCCTTCCCTGGTGTCTCACTTTATTCTCCACCTGCTTCTCCTTCTGCTCTGCTTCCCCTCAAAGCCAAGTTTCCAACGGATGCGCAACTAAGTCCTCCTGAGCGAGTCCCAGTCTGAGCGAGTCCCAGTCTGAGCGAGTCCCAGTCTGAGCGAGCCCCAGTCTGAGCGAGTCCCAGTCTGAGCGAGTCCCAGTCTGAGCGAGTCCCAGTCTGAGCCACCGTTTCCCACATCCGGAGCTCTGCACTCCCAGCTCCTCCAGCCACGGTGAAAACTCCCATGGAGCCCGTAGAAGGTGTGAGTTGCGTGACGGGCAACATGTAAGTAAGTTCTCCCCCAATATCAACAGGAGATAATAAAAAGTGACTAAGTATGGATGATTATTGTAAAACAAGCAGGATACGAGAGATAGACCAAAGTGACCTTTGGAACAGCCATATTGTTGTACAAGCATTTTACCTACGACCTAAGAGAAGCTGACATTCTGCGCAAGAAGCCTCCTGTGACTGATCTCCACAGCAGACCTACCTGAACCACCAGCGACCCCAAGCTCTTCAGAAAGCTTTCTGTTGCCTCTGACAGCTCCTGGATGACCTGAGTGTCTGACTTCACATCCCCCTGTGGACAAAATCGCTTGATTAAGTGGAAGTTAATGGTGTTTAGATTAAAGCATGATTATGAGAAACAAGCAAGAGATTAGAAAATGGATGGATTTATGCAAGATTACATATACTTTTTTTTTATTTTGGCATGAGAGATCTAACTTAATCGGCATTGAGCCACTATTCTTGAAGACCATTCAATTAACTTTCCATAAGAATAGGGTGGTGATTGTCTTGGTCTTAAGTCCCTGTGTCTTTGATCAGATGATGCCTGGTTTGAACCCCAGCCTTGGTAGAACAGTCACATGACTGTAGGCCCTTGAGTTAGACCCTTGACCCCCAGCTCCAGAGGCGCCCCACATTGGCTGACCCTAAGCTTTCTCTCATCTCTGTCTCATGGAAAGTAAGATGGATTAAGCAAAGACAAGCATTCCAATGTACCTGAATTCATGCTTGTGTAAAGCGACTGAATACTGAATGTCGCTATAAATGATTCGTTGGTTTTTTTCTGGAATTGCTTATCCAGTGTAAGGTCACAGTGAGCCTGGAGCTTATCACAGGACACACAAGTCATGAGGTCCATTGCATCCTCAATGGGTGGGTTAAATCAATAAAAGTTAAAGTGTCGTCGTATCATATTTGCAGGTTCCATCCCATTGACTTTTAACCACCTCTTGCTATCTTGCCGGTACACAAGAAAACACAAGCGACCAATAAAAAGGACCGTCTGAAAGAGACAGTGCTGCTGGTCATATGGTTCCATGACTTAATTTTCTGGACAATGGACTGTCGTGCTGGGTAAACAGTCAAGAACCAGCTGAGGTTGGTCAAAGCCAGGATGACCCAAACCTCTTCAAAGGGACATGTTATACTTCGAGGACACATGTTATGTTTTTTACTTTAAATAAGTCTTTTGAATCCCTATTAATTTGCAGAGAGCAATTAAAAGAAACATGAGTGTAGTTAAAGTAAAACAATGGTGGTTAATCTAATGAGGTGATTTATTTCAGAGCTGGGGTTGATGTCTCTAGTATTAGAAGGCGATATGGGATGAAGTATTATATTATGTGGCCTCTGGGACTGGAGATGCTGAAACTTGATTTGCAGCATAGCATGTGCTCACCTGTATGGGCTTCAGAAAGTCAAGGCTGGATAGGAAGTGGGTCTCCGGCTCGCTGGGCCACTGATCCCAGGACTTGCAGATGAGGCCTCGGGCCAGCAGAAGCACGTTGCTGTCCGACGCGTTCACAAACCCTTCCAGGGAGCTCCCATTGCACAGATCCCTCAGGTCCATCCCAGACCCTCTCATCAGCACCTGGGCATGAACATCACAGGACAGAGGAGCATGAGCCTGGAAAAAGCTCCACACACTGATTTTGTGTATAATATTCAAGTCAAATGAACTAAAATAAAGGAGAAAAACGTTTTATTGAATTTATCAACCCCTTGTGCAGCTGAACATGAAGCATAAGAACCACACATATTATAACCGCAAATATAATAACCATGCATGTTTGAAACGGAAAAAATTTAATTAATGCATATTCAGTGTTATTTTATTTGCATGCAATTTCATCTTCCCCCATTACCCTTTCCAGATTGATGTCTGCCTCCACGATCTCCTCGACGGCGTGTGGTGGGAATGACATGTTGTTCTCCAGGAACGCCGACAACGGCTGATTGTCACGGAGAAAGTCCTTTAGTTTGACACCTGCGCACAATGACCATGTCGCATATTTAGGATGCGTCCACTTCACACGTATACTCTGTTTCTCTTCTGTTAGCGTATCCGGCAATGTAATTCAAGTGTGCTTAAATACAGATGTCTGATAATATCTGAGTATATAATGCTCAAAATGCAGCATTTATCCAAAGAACTCTAGAGAAATCTGACATATTGCTTTCAGTATATAATTAAAGCTGGGGCTGACATCCAGGCATATAAACAAACATACAAACAATTAAATAATTCAACAAACAAACAGGCAAATAAATAAAGAAACATAAAACAAAAGTTTTCAACTTTCCTTAAGCCAGAGACCACCAAATTAAAATTGGAACCACTTACTATTTACAAATGAGTAACACACATAAGTACCTAAGTACTGAGGGGGGCCCTCAATATTTACTGGACCCCTGGTTGAAGAGCCCCTGTTATACAACATCAACAAAAAGGGTCTTGCCTATGGTACTGGCTTGTACACCAACATGATTGGACGACGGCCGCGATGGGCCCACCCTACCCGAGCACATCCGCCTTCTGATTGGCCGTCTCTGCGCGAGTCGTGCGGCTGCCCTACCTAAAGCGTGGCTCTGCACGGTCCTCAAGGCCTGAGCCAGGGCCCTCAGACCCTCCATGCTCCTGTCGCTCTGGCTGTACAGCAGGATCCTTTTCAAGTCGATGAACAGGCGTGAAATGCTGCAGTGCGAGAGAAAGACTTTGTGAGAGACAATATGGTGCCTGAAGGCGGCCAAAATGCTTCTCCACTTAAGCTACTTACAATCATTTCTTGGCCATTTTTCTGCATGTGATCTACTGAGCTAAGGCCAGAAAAATGCACGGAATGCAATGCTTCGACGTGTATGCTTTACATATTGCTACTATATAATCAAGTATTGCGTACAAAATACACCTCTTCAACAATAACAATTCCGATATTAAATGTTTCCACCAGCAAATCCCAAACCCGAACATCAAATGCATGTTTAATAATAACAGATCATTATACTGACTGGCAAAGCATGTCCACAATCTTACATAGAATTGTTGAAGTTGCCCACAACTCCAGGTGACTCTCCAGGGGTGGGGTAGCGGAAGCAGGGGTTGTTCGCATTGCAGAAGATCCCCTGGATCCAGGGCAGGGTGCCCGCAGATGGCATGGCTTTGTTTGGAAAGTGGCCTGGCAGAAACAGGCCCTTTCTCAGCCTCGTGTGGCAGCAGTAACATAACATGTCGAAAGTACCTCGACCAGTAAAGCACTGTGCTAAGAAGGCAAAGGTTGTGAGTTCGAATCCCAGGAAGCGAACATGGCGACCCTTTCCTCTACTGCATGCTAAAGGAGTCCGGTAAACCGAAACTCTCCGAGACAATCGCTTCGACACAAGTGCTACACTATCAGTGAACGTTATGTGCATAACACACAAGAGATCAGACACCGAGGTCTGTTTGCACACTTAAGCTACAGGCCCGTGGCCAGAAGTAAATTTCATGATGGTCTGGCAACCCTTGGTAAATACCAGTTCTCTTCCAGTACATTTTGCTGGCCAGGGTTTCATGCATTTCACTGACTGGGGGGTTGAAGCTAATTTTGGGAATCAAACCCATTATTTTACTGTGGCTACAGTACGTGCTAAAGCTACCCCAATGGCTGAAGCCCTTTGCTAATGCTGACTGTACATGACATTTCTGAATGAGTATATTTTGCACTCATCTGAATGTTTATCGAACTCCATTTTCATTTTGGCCTTATAAATGCCGTTAAAATCCCACATGGTGTATCGTATCGTATGACTGAAATTTGTCTGTGTCTTTTGTGACAGATGAGCAGTTTAATGAGCAATAGCGGCAGGACTAAGCAGGACCTTGCTCAGAAAAGACATTTTTTCAAGTATTGGTTTATTTAACAATTCATGCTTTTCATAACACTGTTGCTCTTATTTGAGCAGCTATTCCTTACTGGACCATAGAGCCAAGCTGATCTGCCATCTTCCCGGAAAGTGAGCCAGTTTAGTTTTCAGTGGAAGGCAAACATTTCCAGCTTGTTGTTTCAAGGTACATGACCTTGGGATCACAGGCTGACAGAAATATATGCCTCTTTAAACTGATGTTTCACAAGTCTTCAGGGAGATATACACGCTTCCCCGACCAATTCAGCTCCTACCTCGCCATGTAATGATCAATTAGTGATGTTTTGACAGTTCAACATATTCCTATTCAAATCTCATTTTGAAGATTCCTAAGATATTATGTTATGTATCACGTTATTATGATATGATGCTATGTAATTTTACTCGCACATATTTCATACAAAATTAAGCACATGACATATCAATGTCAAAAATATATTCCTGTGGTCACTGTATACATTAATTTATTACCTAGCATTTCCAAGATATGCAAATCATATTAGCACACTGTGTTATAATGCATACTTCTGACTGTGTACAAAAAAACATGTGGAATGATTTAGGTACTAAGAATCACAAGGTAGCTGGATGTGGAAACAATGGAACATTCTGAAGTCAACACTGGCTTGCAGGGTGTCCCTTTCTGACGATGATTCAACTATAAAAAGAGTCAGAAGACACCTCCATAGATTCACCCCCCCCCCCCACCCCCCCAGAGACAGACACTTACATTCATGTTGCTCATACGGGGGGTAGCTGAGCCTCACAGATATCAAGACGGAGAAAATGAAGAGCGGCCAGACGATCTCGATCAGGAGCTGAAGCTGCAAAATCAGCGTCGTCAGATCAGACCAAAGGAGAACCTGCCTGATTCTCAAAACCTCCGATTCAGTATCAGGACCTCTATACGGTTCGGTCCAATATCACAGTGGGCTTCAGAACTAAACCTAAAACAGTACCTTAAGGAGGATAATTCCCCTCAACAATACTAGCAAACATACTTTCATCAAAACAACAAAATAAAACAGTGTTACCTATGGCTATTGCTCTGAAGATGACAGACAAACAGATTGCATTTCGCCCAGTTAAAAGTCTTTGTAATGTAACAGGCTACTTCCCATTTAACGTCATCAGCTCTTCCATCTTCCAAATATTAATGTGGCAAATATATTAATAAACTACATAGTTACTCTCCATCCATCCATCACCCAGCTGCCGATCCAGTACAGGATCGTGGGGTATATACACTGCCAGAAAAAAGGGTACAACCCGTTTTGTCCCCCAAGGTACAAACAACATTCATGTCCCCCCATTTTGGTACCTTAAATTAGACTAAAATGTACATTTACCTACAACTACGGTACAATTGACAGACTCTCCAGGTTACTGCCCCAGTGACAAGTAATCGTACGCGCAAAGGTACATATTGGTATATTTTTTTCCTGACGGTGTATTATATACAAATAGCGATAGCCTCAAATCCAAACACTTAAAGCAATTTTAACACTTAAATCTATTATCTATACAGATAAGTTGTCAATGTTTGGAAGAATGTCTTACAATGGCTCCTTTTTGACCAGAATTTCAGACTGCACTTGTATATTTTTGCTGATCATTTTGTTGTACTTTTTCCACTCTTTTATTTTTTTCCGAGAGGCAGGAGAACATGCCAGAGAAATAATGGCATCTTTCATTCTTTAGCCGCGTTCCTGGTCTGCTCTCCTTCAGCCCGAAACCAAAACTGAAAAATGAGACTCACCGTCTGCCGCCTTCTGCAGGTGAAGTTCTTCCACAGCAGCAGGCCCAGCTGGGTAGAGACGGGCATCTTGCCTCTAAAACTTTCCCCAGTGGGCTCTCCGCTGAAACAGCAGGTTATTTATGACAAAGGAACAAGGGTCAGTATCCCCAAACACGGCATGCTGGTCTAAGATTTCATTCAAAGTACGCCTGTGCTATCTCTGAACCACACAACGGCCACTGATAGTGTGGTTTTTAAGCAATGTGTCCTGTCTAACCAAGGACACACATTTGCACAATGACACACAGCTTTCAAATCCGTAAACATTTAACAGACCACCTACGCTTTTAAATCAGTCAGTCTTTATCAGATCTTTGATTTAAAACAGACAGCATATCATTTTAATACTAAACCTCTGTATGTAATTAAATTTAAAAGCAAAATATTAACTAAAACAGTCTTTATTTACAGTAACCATAAGAACAGTCGCTATTTATAAGCCAGACAAAATTATATGTGAAGTTAATCCTTTGTCGTTAATCTTTTAGCGCTAGACATTTTGTGATGTTCCTACTTCCCTTTTAAAATATCTGACAGACTATAAGGAATTATGTTCTTTTCATTATGTTTTGTGTGTTCACCTCGAAGTACAAAACCTTACAACCACTCTTCGGATTTGTCCTAAGAAAAAAATATTGTTTAAACATTAAAGTGTGCAATCACCATAAGCATCATTGCCTCATCTGGAATACGTTATAAATGATGGTTTGTGTTTTTACCAAATATGCTAGCCTTTCTTTTGGTGTGAATAGTACATCCATACATCCATCCATCCAACTTCCAAATTCTTAGTCCGTGAAAAAATATTTGCGCCATGTCCTATTTTAGCAAAACTTCAACTAAATATTTGATTATCGTGAACAAATAACATTGATACCGTGTGTTATTTATTCATTAAAGAGAAAGTTACGCAACACCAAGTCATGGTTGTTGTATTTACTGATCAGTCTCTCACATCAAGTCTTCCATGCAGAGCTGCTTCAACTCAATAAGCAGTCATGGGTGCAAAAGCATAAACTGCTTTAAGTGAATGCAGTTTAATCCTGGACTTTGACCAGTGAAAACCTGGTGTCAGGCTCTACAACCCAGAAGCACTTCAGCCTCAACTAATGGACAATCCATCCATCCATCCATCCATCCATCCGTCCTGGAGCCTTGCCCAAGGATTGTGGGTCACCAAGCAGAACATCAATCCAGATTGCCTGATATTCTCCTGTCAGATTCTCTGTAATGGGGCAGATTTTGTGGATCCTCCAACAATAGCATGTCATCCGGATTCCGACTGGGAGAGCAGCCTTGATCCATGATACTACCGCTACTGTGCTTGGCCAATAGTGTCACGTTCATAATGTGAAATGCAGAGATTGGTTATAACTGGACATAACATGCATTGTGCCAGACAAACATTCATCTTTTGACATTTGTGTTCCATAAAAAAAAGTAATTCCAGAATGAAGATCAAATTCAAAATGAGTATTCATGTTCAATGAACAGAGGTTTGTGCCGTCGTACTCTGAGATATAACCCATGAATGTTCCTGTCTCGTGTCTTCCTGATGGAAAAGTCACATCACTGCCCATCGCGGGGCCGCTGGATGTCCCTGCTTGTTGTTCCTCCATGATTTCGCAACATGGTCCCTCCCAAGAATATTCATGACGCTCCCAAACATTTTCCAAACACTGTGAATCTGACTGTGGTCCAGTAAAGGCCCAGAACCTAAGAGACTTTGTAATCCTCTCCATGCTGATAAACATAAACAACCCCCCCCCCCCCACCAAGGTCTTCAAGAATTTCATTTGATTGTTGCAAAATGAATGTTCACAGCTTGATTGCTGCAAATAGGGTCTAACCTTAATAGTTCCTTTATTTGTATTGTGTTAGTGTAGTAAGCCACGAATCTCCACAAGATAACAAGGACACTTTGCATATCAAAGAAAATAAAGCTTAGTGTCATTTTATCACTGTGTATGTTCAACTACAATACACAGCACAATGTGATAAAGTATAGCTTGGAAAATCAACTGGGCAAAAACTTTTCATGACGCCGCAGATTATTTTCCTTAACGTGTACACGGTGTGAGTGACAGTGCATCTTAATTGCGCTGCCAGAGATTAATCCTTTCAGAAGAGCCACTGTCGGTTTTACAGCATCAGTTTCCGATGCCTGGCAACGCAATTAATCATTCGTTTACTAAACCGAAACATATGCAAATGTGATCAAATAAGCGCGAATATAAAAATATAGTTAATAACAAAATGCAATAACAATGTGGTGCTGAAATATCATTTGGCCAAGGTGTGATATTATGGTAAAAATCAGGTGTCGCAATCAACACACAGTTCTGTTGATTTCAACAGGCTACTTGCTTATTCGAGGCGCAACCTCACACAATGTCTCCCTCTCTAGAACTATCTTGTTCTCCACTTATCCCTATGACTGCCCACTAATTTACATATTAATATACAATACGGAATCCTGTAGGGATCAACCTTACAAATATCCTTACACCATGGGTACAAAGCAGTAACAGTTGCCCCAACGTGAAACAGTTAACTTTTTGTCGAAAGTGGGGGGAGCAGTGCTGTCGGACATTCAACGCAGTTTCTCCATATAATGAAGTACAGATGCTTGGCAGATGGATCCTCCAGTGGTCGCTCAGAAACTGTCTTGGCTATAGTTTACAAAGCACACTTACAAAAACATGTATTTACACCCGTTTATCATTTTATTTGGAATCATATTTGATGTTTAAAAATAGAAGCAAGACGACGGTGAGGTGGAACAACTTATTCCAATTACTGCAATTAACCTAAATATATTAAAACATTAACGCAAGTGCTCAGATAAGACCAAGGACATTTTGTCGCGTGCATATTAATGTTTTGCAGTCATTATACTGAGTCAGTGAACTAAGAACTCAAACACAGCAAAACAAAAAGTACATACCTTTACAAGAGTACGAAGAGTGATTTGACCAGTGCATGAATAATCATCCTTTTGGGTAGAAAGTTAAATTAAAGCATTTCTTGGCTTTGTTTTCTCCGGCATTGTCCACACCGCACCACTGCACTGTAAGAGCGCTTTTCCTCTCTTCGGATCTTTTATACGACCTCCCAAACTGGCGCTTTAAGACTCCGGGTTACTCCCGGTCAAAACCATCCTGCGCCGTTAATGCGGTCCGGTCCCTCCGAGGGGCGCGCGCGCAGGGCCACGCGGCCCATTAAAGGGAGACGCTTCTTCTTAAAACTCAACCATTACTTCAAATATTCACCTTTTCAAAACGCAAATATCCGGGCGTTTTCTTGTAAGTTATTTTTGCACGTTTTTCTTGTATAGATGTGTACGAAACGGAATAGTGACACCGTCGCGGAATTCCTTAATATATGTACATTGTAGTTAATCACATAAATTTTAAATAAACATTTTAGCTTTTCCTTCTGCATATATGTAGTATGTCTCCTCTTCTGAAGGACTAATTGTCACACCATAAATGTGGTTATGCAGCGGCACAATGACAGGTTAATGTTCCCCTTGGGTCACCATGTCACATTCATACAGCTACTGACAAAAGGCAGGATTTGCAACGACTTTAAAAAGTGTAATAACTCAGGACAGGGTGGGGGGGACAAGTCTATATAGTGCCTGAGTGTGTAATCAATGGCAAACTGTACAATCTTAGAGATGTTTACATGTGCCTCGGGTGTGCAGTTCAGGCAAGTTGTTAAAAAACAAGAGCAGACATTTAGCAGCATTACCTGGGACTGCAAACACCTTGGATCTTCGGGGCAAAGAAACCAAGGGATGGATTCTGCTGTAAATGATGGCTGATGGATTTGCCATTTGCAGAAGTACAGGTACGCTGGAGAGATTCTCTGCTCATATCCCATCATGCTCTCCATTGAGACTCACACGCTTACAGGTGAGAGTGAAGCTTGGGGTCCAAGCCCCCCTCCCCGTCCCCCCCCAGCACTTCATGGACATAAGGACTTCGCTCAAAGGCCCGACAGACTAGGGTTGCCACCCATCCAGGATATTCCAGGACCACCCCAGATTTTGGTCATCTGTCCTGGGAAAAACGACTTTCGTTCTGGGACACGGAACATCCCTATCAATTTCCTCATCGAACAGTCCTAACCAAACCTTTAGAATGGTGTCACTATGTGCAATATTTGTGGCCAATGACTGTGTGTCCAGGAACTTACAGGACTGAGGTGGCAAGCCTACAACAGACATATGACTATTGCACAGAGAATGGGACTCAAACCTGCAACCTTCTGGTCACAGACACAGAAGGCTAACCGGCTAAACCACACTCTGCCTGAGAACCTCCACACACATAAGCCTGGAAGTAGGAGGGCAGTATGTATATAAGACTGTCGTGCTGGGAGTTACCCATCAGGCAGTGCGGTGCTGGGGATTACCCATCAGGCAGTGCGGTGCTGGGGGTTACAGTGGTGTAAAGCACACTGCCACTGGACTCTGGAGCAGTGGAAACATGTTCTGTGGAACAGACAAATCACCTTTCTCTGTTTGACGGTCTGGTCGATGAGTCTGGGTTTGGCAGATGCCAGGAGAACCTTATCTGCCTGACTGCATTGTGCCAACTGTAACGTTTGGTGGAGGAGGGATAATGGTATGGGGTTGTTTTTCAGGGGTTGGGCTGGGCCCCTTAGTTCCAGTGAAGGGAACTTGCTTCAGCACACCAAGACATTTTGGACAATTCCATGATTCCAGCTTTGTGGGGACAGTTTGGAGAAGGCCCTTTTGTGTTACAGTATGACTGTACCCCAGTGCACAAAGCGAGGTCCATAACGACATGGTTGGGTAGGTTTGGTGTTGAAGAACCTGACTGGCACACAGACCCCTGACCTCATCAAACACCACTGGGGTGAACTAGAATGGAAATTGTGAGCCAGGCTTTCATGTCCAACATCATTGCTTGACCACACAAATGCTCTTCTGGATGAATGGGCAAAAAAAAAATCCACAGACACACTCCAGAGACTTGTGGAAAGCCTCCCCAGAAGAGTGGCAACTGTTATAGCTGCAAAAAGGGGGGAGGGGTCAAATTCATATTGATGCCTAAGGATTTAAAGTGGGATGTTATATAAGTTCCTGTAGGTGAAAATGGGCTGGGGTCCCAAAACTCCATATACTGTAGCTACAACTGAATACATACAGTAAATAGAGACAAGAGGTTCTGGTACTGCTTGGTTAAGCATTAGAACTGTGAAAATGTGTGATCTTTGTGGTTTTCAACACTGCCTAATTACTGCTGTCAGGTGTGATTCCAGCATCTTGGAAACAGTAAACTGCCTCAATAAATCTAACGGGGAGAGAGAAAACATGGTCGAAACTCACGTGGCGCCATAAGCAAGCATTACGCCCCACCCTCCTTGTTCAGCCCCCAGTTTCACCTGTACTGTGCTGGTGGGTAGCGACAGTAAAAGTTGTCGGGGGGTGGGGGGTGCTGGCGCCCCTCAGAAGATGCCACCCTAGGCAATAGCCCATCTCGCCCTTTCCAGAATCCGCCACGCACGGTCCACCTTTATTTACTCCAGATGTCTGATCGCTAAATCAATCATAGGCTATTTACTTGTGCGAACGTCGTACACGTTCGATTTCTCCCGTTCTGAGTAAAAAATGCAGTACTGGTCTGTTATGGGATCTAAAATGCTAATACATTAATTCATGGTTTATTTGTTAATTTCCGTAACCTTCTCGAATTCAGTAGCCTAAGCTAATTGGTAGGATTTGCCCGATAATATCTTTACAGTGGTGTATCACATTAAAATGAACTGTATATGGACACAGTGGGATTTTTAAATCATAGTCGTATCTATAAGGAGTTTATTCAGGACGAGGAAAACTACGAAGTTGTTTAGTATTGCTATACGTAAATCATTCTTGAAAGGATAAAACATATTTTTGCTTATTTCATGCGAATGTTGAAAATATTGCTAAATAGTAAATAGGCATAAGATCAAATTAATCTCTTAACAAGCAACTGTTGGATGTAAAACATTTATTTCAAAGAGTGAAAACACTTATAATTGTATCCAATTCCAAGTTTCAAGGTACTGGGAAAACTGCAAGCCAAGTTAAAAAAAATAAACAGCGGAATTCCAATCGTAATGGTTGTAAAACGTGTCCGCAACCATCGCAGACTGAGCGCCCCTCCCGCGAGCGATAGTGACGCAGCTGCCTGTAAGTGTCAGAAAGTGGGTGAAAGGCGACATGACGTCTAACGGGGGCTCCGGCCGAAAGGCTGCAGCATCTCATGCCAGGGAAGGATTCCACTGCACATCCTCCTAAGGCTGTCATCAAAATATTTAGTGGAAAACGGATACCAAATAGAATTATAGTATGGGAACTGACACATATATTGTTAAAATCAAATCACATTGCTGAACTGAACTGAAAATTTTTATTAGAAAGAATATGTGCCAATATAGATAGCCTACCTTTGTTGAATTTAAAAATGTTTGCCGGTGTTCTGTCGAGTTGAGCTACTTTGTCGAGTTAGGCTACCGTAGTGCTAATCGATAACCCTAACCCTAACTCTTACCCTAACCCTAACCCTAACCACCCAAAAACCCCTAAAACCCTTACCTTAACCCTAACCCTAACCCCTAAAAGCTAACCCTAATTCCAAGACGGTGGAACTGCACATGCGCCGAAAGGCTCGATAGCACGTTTCGATAGGTAGCTCAACTCGTCAGAACACCGGCTCTCTTCTTACATTGCAGAGTCCGGAGACACACGGTTCGGGGGAAAAAGTGACTCTAAATATCCTTTAAAGCGTACCGTGTGTAATGAAACTGACGTTTTTATAATAAGCTTTAAAAATGGTCATTCTTTGAAAGCCATCTTGACACGCGCGCACTTACTGGTTACAGTCCACCTCAGCTGCTGGCCCGGTTCGCCACGGACTCGATACTTTCATCGCTGTTTCTCTCACGTGGAATATTTTATTACAATACATTTCTATGAAGGAAATCAGTGTTTGCCTTACATGGGATTTTAGATGTAAATATTTATCCTAAAATTACTGTATGGAGCTCAGCATCATGGCGCAATCATCTTCTGGCCATGAAGCTCCTGCTGAAACACTGATCTTCTTATGACTGTGAGTTGAACGGTTAGCAACAAAAATCTGGACATATCACTACATATCTCAATACAATTGGTTGCTTATTAAACAGTATTCATACTTATAAAATTCTATTATAGCTATAACTGGGGCAATTCAGCTGAAGTTCCTGCTGTTGTTTTGGGACAATGACCAATCCTGGACTTACAGTGGACCTCCCTGTCCTGGAACAATAAGCCGCTCATGTCCCTCAGGATAGCTGTTGGTTCTAGAACAATGTGTTTCTCTTGACAGTCATTTGCGCTCCACATCCTGGAACAATGCCTTAGTCACATCTGTCAGTCGACTTCCTGGTTTTTTAACAATAACCTATTAGGACCCATCAGTGGGGCTCCTTGTCCTGGGACAATGATTTCTGAAGCTTCTGATTTGTATTTGTCATTGTCATTGCAGCAGTCCAGCATTTCTGAAGCATTTTTCTCTTCCTCTCCGTCACTTGCGCTTCTTTAGCTTTATTTAGGAGGATTAGCACTCGAAAATGACCCATTTCTGCCACATGACGGAAGAATAAGAGACCGATATGAAAGGCAGAGATCATAGTACGGTTCGGAAAATACTTTATGAGTATTGCTTGAGTGATGTTAGCTACTTGTCCGGTATCTGTGGCAATCGACATTGAAGAAAATGAAGAAACATCCATCCATCCATCCATCCATCTTCCAACTGCTTATGGTGGTCAGGAACCCGGAGCTTATGCCAGGCAGCAGAGGGCACAAGGCAGGAGAAAAACCCAGACAGGATGCCAGTCTATCACAGGTGATGGAAAAAACGTTATATTTTCAATTATTTAGGGCAAATCTCTGGCAGAAGGCTTGGTCTTTTCTCAAACCCAAAAGCACACGCCGCCCTCCTGTTCCAGGGCTACCCCCAAACGTCCCCTTCCAAAACTGCCATAGCCCGTCTACTATCAGGAATAATAAAACGCTTTAAATAGAGCAATATTTCCTCTCCAAATGCATCCCAACTCCCATCCTTGTGGTTAAAGTCTTCATTACAGAAAATAATGGCCGGTCCCTTGCAGTATAATTGCATTCAGTAGTCAGCCCAAGGAACA